GCCTGTGCCTTCCCCATGCCATGACACAGCATGCACAGCTGGGTGGAACTCGCCTTCCAGCACTGGGGAGGGAGCAGGGAGCATGCAGTGGGGCTCTTTACTCACCGGAAGCTCTTCACAAGCAGCCAGCAGCTGGGAGCAGGTCTGCAGGGCCCTCTTGCGCTCCCACACGTTGTTTGAGGTCACTGATCTCTGCAGAACCTGGAGCAGAGCATCTGTCTCACCGTGGACCTCTTTCCCTTCCTGCCATCCCTCTCCCTGTTCCTCTTTTCCCAACAGTTTCCCTCAGGGCTGCCCTGTGGCTCCACATGGACCCCCGCCTCACTGAGCACTGACACTGCTGCTCCCATTCTCTGCAGACACTCCTGCCCCCTAACCCAGGAGCTTTTCCTCAGCTGTGGCCTGCCAGGGGCTGGCTCCTGCCTTTCCCCCTGCAGGGCCCATTTCTCTGCCCATTTCTCAGCTCGCAGTGAGCTGGCCCATTAGCAGGAGATTATTCCCCCTTTGATCATCCTCTCAATTCCCAGATCTCTGTCCCTGCTGTCAACGGGCACCATGCTCTCTCCCTTGCCCCACACATACTCACATGGACTATGTTCTGGAAGAAGCCACGGGTGGTCTCTGTCTCAAGCAGGACCACCATGAGCTGGCCCAGAGCTTTCAACGATGTTTGCAGAAGCTGAAAGCAGGAGAGGGGATTGAGGTGTGGCATCACGGCTGCTGCCGGAGCATCGGTTGTGTGTGCTGAGGTAGGGTTCCGACGCAGAGATGGCTGGGAAAGTTACGGCAAGTTACCTGCAGGTACTGTGCTGCTTGATGTGACTCCCTGATCTTCAGCATCATCTCTGCTGAAGGATGTGACACAATGTTCTTGCAGCACAGAGTCAACATTTCACGTACATCTTTGCTTCCTAAAGAGGGCTTCAACTTGCTGACAGGAGGAAAAAAAGGAAGAGAAAACAAAAAGGGCCTTTACCACTGCTCTCCAGACTGGATCAGACAACATCCGAGACTCTCCTAACCAACAGCTGCAAAGCCAACACCCCCAGCCTGTGCTGCTGGAGTAGCGCCCGCCTCCTCCCTGGCAGTAGTGAACCAGCTCCTGCTCTGAAGGGAAGAAGGCCCCAGGTCTCCCTTCTCTTCCTTGACAGGGGACAGGAGCACCAGGCATTTCTCCCTGCCCAGAATCTCAGCTTCACTAGCCACAGCAGCCCAGCCATCTCTCTTAAAGATGCAGCTCCTCACCCCCTCCAGGCTTTCAGCAGCTACCCAGAAGGGGGACCACCATCCTGCCTTGCAACCCTAGTGACTCCCGCCCTTACCTCAACTGCTCCAGGGCCAGAACCACCTTCAGGGGCACTGGGGATACAGGGGTGCCCAAGTAATACTTCTTCAGCAAGTCCTGCAAGTACCAGAGATACATTGTCAAAGTGGGCAAGGGGCACACAAGAGCTCTTCTGCCTGGCCCAGAGACAGAAACAACTGCCACACACCAGCCCCATCGCTCCCACATTTTC